ACAAAGCATTCAGCAAAAATGGCGAAATCCCAACTTTCCTGCAAAAACAGATTAACCGAGGGAATCTAACAATAGGACGGCTGTGCAATATTCTAAATTTACCCCGTTTCATCTTTAAACTCGTGTTTATTTTATTTGTGCATTTGTGAAATTTCACCCTAAAAAGCCGCATGTATGCTGCTGGGGTAAAATCAATTTAATCTTTTCAGTTACCGTTTTGGACAATTTTACAAAAGATTGAGCTTTTATTACAAAGGACTTGTTTGTGGAATGACAGATATAATAAAAGACCTGCGTTACACACAAAGGCATTGTACCGCGCGTGCCTATTTTACAGAAATCTGGAAAGAGATTAAAACCATTGACCTGTTCTCATTCAATGCATGTTTGTCATCGGCTCATACCCCTTTGCCAAAATTTACCCTTTTACGTAAACGCAACCCTATTTTACAATAATTACGTATTCTGATGCGATATCTAACAGCTGCCGAAATTTTATACAATGACAAGAAAAACATCGTTAGGTATGAGTGTATGAGGGATCATTCGAAATCTGATTTCCAATTTATTTTAACTGTTATTTTTTAAACTAACTTGAAGGGTTTCAAACGGAGATAATAGACATCACTATTATTTATACCACCGAATCCTCTTTTGTGGAAATACGTCCCGTAGGCAAACTTCTACATTTTGTTGTGTACTGGGGGAACTTGACTTGGTCAAATGGAATTGGCAATTTTTCAGGAAAACATACCGTTGAATAATTTACAGTACTACATAAATGAACACATTAGCATTCAGCAAAGCAAGCAAACGCTTATAAATTTATTTTATCTATCCTTTATATTTAGTAAGTTCAAAGTGCCTAATCATTGGTTTCACTTAGCATTTTAGGCGTATTAATTTGGCAGGTTTGAGGAGTTGTAGTGCTTCAGACCGTACTTTGCGGTAGTTAACAATCGAGACCAGTGCGGTTTCTTGTTTAAAACTTTGTTTTTAGATTGCTAACACTCTTTTTGTTGAGAAAACAATTAGTTACTGACAAGGACAATGCTTACAGCTGACTGAGCCGATGAGAGGAAATAACAATCATACCAAAAGTAGGCAAATTCGTCAACGACAGGCTTCTTCAACAAAATAAATACGAGCTTGATAATTTTATTTCTAAATTTGGGCCAGCTGTTATTAATGCATCAAAGTTCAAATCAAACTTTTGTTTTATTTCGAACAGCTTCGCAGCTGGTTTCACTATTAGGTCAGCATTTTGTGGTTGAGGGTTTCTTCAATTCAGAAACTCGATTTTTCTAATAGTTCGGTAACTCCTACAGTGTAACATTTTGATTTTTCATGGTTCAAAGTTAAACAACTTTTGATCTCATCAATGAATGGTGGTGATTTTTTAAAGCAAGCTTAGCTAATCAGGAATCTTGTAAAATATTAAATAATGCCATTTAAAGTCATACATACCAGGAAAAATCGGCGACATTGATACATTTTGCAAATATCTAACAAGACTTGGTTTATCTTCATGAGTGTTGTATTTTTGTAATTTTGTAATTTCTAAACCTAATGTATGATGTATTAGCTTTATACTTGAAATGCTTTAGCTTATAGACGTTCCCTGGAAGTTTTTTCGGTTCCTTTTTTGCAAAATTTGTCAACTTCGGCAAATTTCCCTGATCCATGCTTCTTTTAATGGCTTTATTTAATATTTTTTCAAGAGTCTTTATTACGCCCGCTTCAATTGAAAAAAAATCACCACGATTCATTGATTAGATGAAAAGTTATTTGATTTCAAAACAAAGAAAATGAAAATGTTACACAGTGGGCCGTTAGCTGCAATACTCTGAAGCCGTTTGAAACATTAAAACTTCTTTGTGCTTTACAATAGTGAATGTATTTTGGTCATGTCCTATTCTCTAATGTGTTTTACGGATAAAACGATTTTTGGTATTTGAGTTATGTCACTTTGAATAATAATATAATAATTAGGAGACCGTTACTTAACAACAACAGAGCTATGAAAAATTTTGAAAAAAGTGAAAAATGAAGTATAATTTTGGAAAATATGTAAAAAATATGAATTCAAAAAATGTTCAGCTGTAAAGTCTTGAAGATTTCGGAGCGCAGATGCTCATCTTCGTCCAGGACCTCTACTTCCGGCATCTTACCCTGCATCGCTAAATGAAGGACGTAATATTTCTCTGGGTTCCTCATCGATGCGTAAATTTAATTCGTCTTTTTATTGTCCTAATAATTTTGGTGTTCTTCTTCATTTGTTGTAGAACCATCTCATTTCTTATTCGGTCCATCCAGTTTATTCGGAAGATTCTTCTACAGACTCACATTTCAAAAGCCTCCAGTCTCTTCAATGGTGTGTCGGTGAATTCTTTTCACTTTAATGTAGGTGGTTCTGGCTTTTTCGATGCACGCCCATATATGTGATTTGGTTAACGGTTTCCAGTTGTATCATGAATGCTCTAATTTGTTTTGATGTTCTTTGCAATTTAGCTTTCAAAGTATTAAGTTTACATTTGTTACATGAATCGGTGTTACTCTGTTAATGTGAATTTGCAGTGCATCCTGACTAGCAGAAATTAGCACTGTGTCGTCCGCATATATCACATTATTTAAGTTAATTCATTTTACTTTAATACCATCGTCCACCCCGTTCAATGCTTCTCTGAAGATATATTCAGAGCAGATATTAAATTATAAGAGAGACAGGATGCACCCCGGCCCCTGCCTTACTCCACGTCGTATTTCTACTTCTTTGGACTAAGTGCTGAAGACCAAAAAGGTTATTACGACATTCAAATTGTCTTTCAGTGTTCTTCTAATTTGTTGTCCATTTGCAGGAAGAGTTTTAGTCCGTGGCTCATCAGACCGATAGTGCGGTTGTCAGTGCACTTCATTGCGTTCATCTTTTTTGGTATCATCACACATGTTGATAGAAGCCAGTCTGTTTATATTTAGTAAGTTCAAAGTGCCTAATCATTGGTTTCACTTAGCATGTTAGGCGTATTAATTTGGCAAGTTTGAGGAGTTGTAGTGCTTCATACCGTATTTTGCGGTAGTTAACAATCGAGACAAACGCGGTTTCTTGTTTAAAACTTCATTTTTAGATTGCTAACACTCTTTTTGTTGAGAAAACAATTAGTTACTGACAAGGACAATACTTACAGCTGACTGAGCCGATGAGAGGAAATAACAATCATACCAAAAGTAGGCAAATTCGTCAACGACAGGCTTCTTCAACAAAATAAATACGAGCTTGATAATTTTATTTCTAAATTTGGGCCAGCTGTTATTAATGCATCAAAGTTCAAATCAAACTTTTGTTTTATTTCGAACAGCTTCGCAGCTGGTTTCACTATTAGGTCAGCATTTTGTGGTTGAGGGTTTCTTCAATTCAGAAACTCGATTTTTCTAATAGTTCGGTACTCCTACAGTGTAACATTTTGGTTTTGCTTGATTCAAAATCAAACAACTTTTGATCCCATCAATGAATGGTGGTGATTTTTTAAATCAAACTTAGCTAATCAGGATCTTGTAAAATATTAAATAAATCCATTTAAAGTCATACATATCAGGAAAAATCGGCGACATTGATAAATTTTGCAAATATCTAACAAGACTTGGTTTATCTTCATGAAAATCGTATTTTTATAATTTGTAAACCTAATGTATGATGTATTAGCTTTATACTTGAAATGCTTTAGCTTATAGACGTTCCGTGGAAGTTTTTTCGGTTCCTTTTTTGCAAAATTTATCAACTTCGGCAAATTTCCCTGATCCATGCATCTTTTAATGGCTTTATTTAATATTTTTTCAAGAGTCTTTATTACGCCCGCTTCAATTGAAAAAAAATCACCACGATTCATGGATCAGATGAAAAGTTATTTGATTTCAAAACAAAGAAAATGAAAATGTGACGCTGTGGGCCGTTAGCTGCAATACTCTGAAGCCGTTTGAAACAGTAAAACTTTTTTGTGCTTTACAATAGTGAATTTATTTTGGTCATGTCCTATTCTCTAATGTGTTTTACGGATAAAACGATTTTTGGTATTTGAGATATGTCACTTTGAATAATATTATAACAATTAGGAGACCGTTACTTAACAACAACAGAGCTATGAAAAATTTTGAAAAAAGTGAAAAATGAAGTATTATTTTGGTAAATATGTAAAAAATATTAATTCAAAAAATGTTCAGCTGTAAAGTTTTCAAGATTTCGGAGCGCAGATGTTCTTCTTCGTCCAGGACCTCTTACCATGCATCGCTAAATGAAGGACGTAATATTTCTCTGGGTTCCTCATCATTGCGTAAATTTAATTCGTCTTTTTATTGTCCTAATAATTTTGGTGTTCTTCATTTGTTGTAGAACCATCTCATTTCTTATTCGGTCCATCCAGTTTATTCGGAGGATCCTTACTCTGTTAATGAGAATTTGCAGTGCATCCTGACTAGCAGAAATTAGCACTGTGTCGTCCGCATATCTCACATTATTTAAATTAATTTATTTTACTTTAATGTTGATAGAAGCCAGACTGGCTTCTATGATATATTTTGAAGACTTTTTCCAAAAGTTAACGAGGTTCAAGTTCAGGCCCTCCGTCAATAAATTTTCGCCTTTTACGGTCAATACATTTAAATTTCCTGTAGTAACCTAAAGGCGACGTTATTGATTTAAGGGTAGATTTTTGTTCATGGCCGTAAGATGACAACTCTATAGAAGTAAATATAACACAGCTGTTACTATTGTTCTGTAAAATATACAGTATGTAGGTTGGGGTTAATAGTGTTGTATTTAAAAAATGGGCAATAACTTTACGATTAACATGGAGGAAAATTTCAAGAAAAATCAGGATTTTATTACCGAAATGAATAACATTAAGGTAGAAACATTTAGTCAAATATTTTACTAATATTATATTTCTTCAATGTTTGTTACTATATCACTCCTGTGTGGTGCTTGGATAATAATATCACCATCACAGATTGAACGACAATTACAAATGAGAAACCAAATGAGAGAAAGGCAAGTTGCTTTGGAAATTGCAAAACAGAGAGAGCTATTCTATTGGGTTGGAGCTTTTTATGTTGCAAGTGCTCTGGGTACCTTGGCTTGGTAAAGGACGTTGCGATCTCCAACAAATTTGCACCTAACCACTATTGCTTTATTAGTTACAGATACATGCGAAAGCCTACCATACTTATCCCGTTAGTACCTCTAACATTTATACTTTCTTATCAAGCTGACTTTGCATATGGAAATAAACATCACAGAATACTAGGTGATATTTCATATTTGCCCGAAAGTGTTAAGTAGGTGCACTTATATTCAATTTTTAGTGGAAGCCGAACATATCATGCAATTTGAAGCCCACTTACTGGAGCTTCCTTTAGGAGTTCCTACTCCTGCATCAATAGACTTAAAACGAATGCAAAATGATGAGCAGAAAAGATTGCACCCACATTTGCCACCACTTTAATGAAGACGAAAACAGTATGACCTCATTTCTTTCAATTTTATCTAGATATTAGTTTGAAACGGTTTTTGTGCAATTCTGCGACTGTGATGTTCTTGATTATGATAATGTTTGGATTCCAATATCTATTGGATACATAGGTGATTTTTTTAGTAGTATTGAATATTACTCTTTAAACACATCATATATATTATATTAATAATTATTAACGACAGTAGAAAATTGATTGCAACTATAGAAATGCAAAACTGGCGCATCTTATTTCCTACATTATATACACATAAATGTATGTAAGCAGTGGTTATTTTTTACCAAAAAGCGTCTCGACCTATTGATTGATTGATCTTTTCGTCCTTGCATGGACAGGGTGGCGCACCACCTGCGAAACTTTACCTCCTTAATTTTTTTATTTCTTCTGCAGTTTTGGGTACATTCACAGATGTGTATATGTTGGTTGATCTTTAAAAACACTATTAATCTATTCTCCATTTAAATTAATATTATATTTTAAACTGGATATTTCCATTGTGTATGAGAAGAGTTGCTGTTGGGACAGGAAAGCGGGCTTGTCGGGTTGAGTTTATAATTCAAAACATTCCGTTTCGTGCAGTTATAGGAGTTATTCGATTTTGTTGGCATTTGGGCTAGGTTTCAGTCAGAACAGTTGTTTTCTTGATAGATTGTGTAGTGAGCCCCCCCCCCCATTCAATTCTCTATCTAACGATGCCAAAACGAATTCTCTGACTTCGAAAAAAGCAGCGTCATGTTCAACTGGATTTTGCAACTCAAGAAAAACCACGCAAATCTAAAACTTCTTGAATTCAAGAATTCTTTGATAAAACTGCCAACATTTCCTTATCAATGGTTCACTTTCTTAAAAGATCATTTATTTCTTTCTAGAATGATGTACAAATGAGCATCCTTGCTCATTTTGCCTCCGAAAAATGAGCAAAAACGGGACGGAAAACATTAAATTTTGGCATCATCTTGCACCTAAGTGTCCGATATTCAAATTTCGCTTTCTGTGTCAAAATTACTAGAATTTCCTCACTCACGTTGTTACGACTGAATCGACTTTTCAATTCTCTATCCAACGATGCCAAAACGAATTATGTGACTCGAATGGTTCTTGAGAAACTTCGA